GTGAGAGAGAGAGGGAGAGACACCGAGAGAGTTAGAGAGGGAGAGACAGAGAGCGAGTGAGAGAAAGAGACAGACAGACAGACAGACAGACAGACAGACAGACAGACAGACAGACAGACAGGCAGACAGACAGACAGACAGACAGACAGAGACAGAGAGAACGCGCACAAAATTATGACCCCAAAGTCTCATATTACCCCTTAGGCTCAGTATAGTCGAGACTATCTTTCCTTCCTTCGTTCTGTCAAGAAAATAAATCTGCTCTTTACGGCACGTTTTGACGGGTGTGTGGTGTTTATTGTTTGTTTCTTGTTGTTGGTGAAAGGGCGTTGGGGGGGGGGTTGTTGTTGTTTTTGTTTTTTGTTTTTTTGTTCGGGTTTTTTCTTCTTTTTTTTTGGTTCTTTTATATTATATACTGTTGTCTGGGCTTTCAAGGGTTCAACATAATACGTGCTTTTTCTCCTAAAGAGTTCTGAATTGACTGATCTTGACAAATTTATGAAGCAAGTTGTTGTTGCTGTTGTTGTTGTTGTTGATAAAGAAAAGAACAGAAAAATCATAGCGATCTCAGGTGAAAAAAATAGTATTTTTAGTTTTAGTAGAGGTTTTACGGCGCTTGCAACTGCATAAGGTCATATGAGCGCCAAAAAAAGAAGTATGAACAGGTAAGTTAATATCCGCAGAGCAAGTCATAAATTATTTCGGATCTTATTTTCTTTCAATTGTTTGTGTTATACGAGTAGAAAAAAAAGAAACACACACACACACACACATACACGCACATAAACACACAAACACACACACACACACATACACACACACAAAATACGCAAACACAAACACATAAACACACACACACACACATAAACACACACACACACACACACACATATAAACACACACACACACACACACATAAACACACACACACACAAAATAAAGAAATTTAGCTTTTTTGTAGCAAAACTGTCTCAAAACTGAAAAAACGAAGGGCGTCATGATCTGGGGAATATTTTAAAGAATCTTTTGGCGAAAACCGCATGTCAATCGATGCAGCCATTAAAAAGCCTTTTGAATAGCAAAATTCGACCATTACAAATAGATATAATAGAAATGATATCTGCCTCGAGGACATTTATCATGAATTGACAATACGTCAATATTAACGCGTAAGGACATAAATCATTTCAAGGTTTACATGTTTCAATTATTTGCTTTTTGCAGGTGGAAAGACAAGAAAATATACATTACGTCAATCTCATGGCAGAAAAATTATAAATGTGATGATAAGTAAATATTTACTCATAACAGAATATTATTAATCATTTCAGACGTTCACGATATTGCTGATCCATGTCGTGAAGTTCCGCTTTTATCTTAAAAAATGTTTGTCTTTTTTTTTGTCTTTTCTTTTTTAGGAAAGACTAACGTATCCAAAATGAAACTATCTTTATTTTTTAACGTTTAGGTTCTTGTTTTTAAAGTTCATTTGTTGGGACAGATTTCGTATTTGATATCGTCACATCCTCCTTTAATCGTAATATTTTGTTTGCGTGTCATTTTAGTTACATTTTACTTGCCATGAGCAAGATGAATTGAAACATGATATTATTTCAGTGTCATTACACATCATTACTATCATATTATCATGTTTTACTTTACTATTTGTATATGATATTTTTCGTTGTTAGGTATTATCATCATCATTATAGTGTCAGTATCGTTTTTTATTAAGTTGTGTAATTATTTTTTATTATTTTTTTATTTTTAATATTTTTTTCTTGATAGCCATTTCAATATGATTGTATTATCATTATTAGTATTTATCTATTTATCGTCACTATTAGC